ACTCTAGTTAAGGTAGTATATATATATATATATATATATACTCCTGGTTCAGGTGTGTGTGTGTGTGTGTCTGTATGTATATACATTTCGGTTCTTCTAGTTAATCGGTTTACAAGATCTTACATTACGTTTTTCTTATGAAGTCAATAGCTATTCAGCAATAGAAGTATTTTTTTATAACTGATTTCTAAATAACTCAAATTTCACAGAAAAAGACTAGGATTTTCGATAGTTTTTCCTTTTTCACAAGTTTCTTCGTATCATAATCTAATGATATTTATCTAGATTATTAGGAGATTCCTAAGTTTCACGTTTTGTTGTTTTTAGTACCATAAAATACCACAAGTTAAACTACTGGACAAGAGTTAAAATGTCAACATCTTGCAGGTAGATCAAGGTTGTTTTTTTAGTATATTTCTCTCACAACTAATTGATTTTGTTTATTTCTGACATCACTTGCTTAAAGTTTTCAGCTTTAAAACTTCATTAGTGATAACTACTTAAATACATACAACTGAGCGCGATCTTCGGAATTTCCGGATATCCACCATGACGTACGCTACAAACCAACGATTAAATATGACAATATGAAAAGTCAAGAAATTGATATTATTACAGCACTTACACCAATAGAAACATTATACGTCAAAATCCTCATATTGACAAATTTGCATTTTCTCGCAAACTCTTGAAGTCTAGTTTTAATGGTAACGACACCACATTTTAATAGGAACATAAATTAATCTGGCTAATTGTTGATTTTTTTTGAATCCATGATTTAGAACCTGCTCAACCATCTGATCATTGTGCCCGCCAATGGGGTGATTACCCTCATGAAACAGATTGTGGCAAATTTTGGCGATGTGTAGAAGGTTTTGCGTACGAATTTACATGTCCAGAAGGCTTGGCTTATAGCCCTAGTATCAGAACCTGTAACTGGCCGGATATGGTTGCCGAATGTGACAGTGAAGGTGAGAAGCATTTTACTTTCTTTTTTGTTGTTGTTGTTGTTTTCAGTTTTTGCAGCACAATAATGTAGTGTAAAACCAGCAATTAACCAAACTATTTAAGTTTTCATTGGCTAATAATAATATTAAACAGAGAAAAATTACTATTATGTAAATCATACACAACTTTTTATCTTGTCAATTTCACAGGAAACTTTGTACGAAAAAGTAAGTTTCTTTTGTACTAACTGAATTAGTCATGAATTTTATTCTTCCATAATTAGTTTAGAAAGTATGTTTAGTTAGGCATACAAGGTTGAGTACTTTATATTAAAACGATCTGGGGGCCTTACAGCGTCGGTACACTCTATACCACCACATCTTGTCATGCTCTCTGACGACCGTGCATCTTGATAATGACCCTGCAGCATGGTTTCTATTATAAAAGGATCTGTCGAAACGCTATCATATTCAAATCCCAACACTCCTCCCTGCAGCTTTTTATAATTCATCTTGTTCACGAAGACGCTGATTTCCTATTGCCCGTTTCGACAGTTCGATTACACAGATATCCATAGGCGCTGTATCTAGCGACTTGACTGTTATGGAATAGTGTGAATATTCGATTCATTCTTCAGATATCTGAGGTATGCAACAGTTGAATAGATTGAAGCAACTCGAGTACACTTGACTTGTGTCATTTTTGACATGGAGATCTTTCCCTAGTTTATTGAGTATTGTTGCCTAGGTCACGTGGAAGGTTTTCGCTTTAATCTTTGTGCTCCTGAATTCTCTCCTGTTACAAGACGCCACACTTTGCTTACTACACTGGGTATGAATTGTTGCAGGTCTTTTTCTAAGTGGTTCTGGTACCACAAGTTGATCCATATTTCTTATTTCTAATGTCATTAAGTATAAGGGATATCATCATCTTAGAAGCTCTAAATCCCCGATCTAAACTCTTCTTGTGATCTAAGTGCATGAATATCTTGCATCAGAAAGGACTATTACATACTCTTCCCAAAAGCGACCAATTTTCTTAGGTATCACACTACCTACAAAAGCTAAACAATATCAAAATGTAGTTATCATACATGTCATTCCAACGCGACTTTATACTGACTTTACGGTCATATGACAGGCCGAGTTGCATTTTCATTATCATTTTAATATAACGTGCTTAACCCTGTGTCCACGCCTTTTTTTTTCTAAATTTTTGTGCAGGTGTTTACTACATATCTAAAGGTCGTAAACGTGCTCTAATCCTTTCTCTTAGGTAAATACTACATGCAACAAAGGTACAGAATAAATATAAGCTAAAAATGTTGCTTATGTATGACGATTAAAAGTTTCTGTCACTTTGTCCCATGTTTGGTCCACTTCTTGTGGCTAGTGAGCTTATCTCGAGGGCTGGCGTGGCACAGATACTTATACAAATTTTTATGAGGTAGGATTTTGTCCTCTTTAAATGCTATTTGGAATAGATAGTGACGTATATATGGGCAGTAAATTAGAATTCTTTTGTCCTTGTTCTGTACTGGAATATAAACAAAATATTTATCTAAACCCCGGCAGCCAATTGAAGTCACAACAGGAAGGCAGGAACTAGACCTATTTGTGAATTAAAGACATACACATATTTCATGATAACTAAATATTTTGTTTTATTTGTGTCTTTTTATATCTTTCTTTTCTTTGCTGTTCGAGATCGATTTAGTCTCTGCATAACATTTCCGGAATTTGCGTTTTGCGGATACTTTTAAACTTAACTGTTGAACACCAGTGCACCTGAAACCACATTTTAACAATGTGTGAAACGCATGTAGTTGATTATATTGTTACGTCTCCGTTTGTTAATTGATTTTTCGTAACTTCGTTCCGACGAAACTTTAGCGACACAAGTCCTTACTTAATAAAACTGGTTTATTCTTTCCGAATACAACTTTACGATACACTTATTTTCAACAGTCGCGCTATAACAAACTATAATAACGACGTTAACTTCAACAATACGTCTCTCTCTGACTGCAGTTCAATTACTCATTACCTACACACATTATTGCGTCATGTTGTGACCATCTTATATATACCAGACTACCCTATATCTAGTAATCTCTCGAAGGATCGAGAGAAGGAGTGGCGTGATAATAGTCACGTGACCTCGCTGACGCAACACTGTCCCCTCCTTAGTATTGTTCGTCCCGAACAATAATCACATACTGTAAACCAATAACAATTAACAATAACTTAATTAAATATACAGAATTACAATCACAAAATTACAATTCAACAAAGTCTCTTAATTTTTACGGGACGTATCTTCTTCCGTACTGGTCTCCGTCTCGTTGGCTTCTGCTTCATGTGGGGTTCATCTGCTTCATCAGTAAAGGTCCTATCATCGGTAACAGTCACATCAGTGGCAGTAACTTCATCAAGAGCTTCATCGTTTCCCTTCTCAAAACTGAGTAGAGTTTCTTCTTCGATGGTGGCATCTTCAGGTGGCACGTCTTCAGCAGCGTCATTTGTTCTGTTGTCCACTTCATCCCAACTGAAATGTCCTGGACCGTGATAACGCCAAAGCCTTTTGGCTTACCTCGCCGACTACATTTTACCCGGAAAGTCACGTCTGAGAGACGATCCACTATGTCATATGGGCCTTCCCATGAAGAAGACAACTTAGGAGACTTCCCTTTGGTCTTCCTGGGATTATACAACCATACCTTGTCTCCTGGTACAAAGCTGACTTCAGTAGACCTCTTATCATAAATTAACTTCATCGAATCAGCAGACGTTTTCAACTTTGAATGTACTTGATGGTGAATATCATCCATCCTTTC